CCCCCCCCCCCCCCCCCCCCCGGAGGGTACTGAAATGGTGATGGGCACTCATCTCACCTTTATCATATGTGTGTAAACTAGAGGCCATAGACAGGTCTCTACATTATATTGTTGTAGGTGCACCTCAATAAGACTAAATAACTCATATTAGCATCTGATTGTTCAGTTCTTATCATGATCTCCATAACTTTGAGGATTTTTTCAATATTACTGGGTTTATAATTATAGATATCATTTGATCTTGTTTGTTGTGCTAATGAAAAAACTTCTAATTTTACCCGTGCAAGCAGACTTTGGTCATAAGTAAGATGCAGAGAATGACTCAAGAAGGACTACAACGGACAGATAAGAGAATTGGGCTCATGAATGAAATACTTGCTGCAATGGATACAGTCAAGTGTGTTTGCTTATTGAAGCATGCATTTTAACTTGCTTGACTACAATAGCTTTCGCATATGATTAAGTTGACATTTAATACAATATTATGCTTCAGATGCTATGCATGGGAGGATAGTTTCCGATCGAAGGTTCAGGGAGTTCGGAATGAGGAACTGCATTGGTTTCGTCAGGCACAGATGCTAGGAGCAGTATGTTTTGAACCCCCACTCTCTTTTTCAATTCTGTCTTCAGTTTTAGGCTGTATGGGGATATTTAATTTATAATGATAGCAGGAGTAGTGTAACAGAGACATTCTCGGCTTGAAAAATAGAGTGACAGAACTAAAATATCTAAGTTAATTTGGGAAATTTATTTAAGCTCCACTACTTGATTTATATACTCTATTAGGAATTGCTACCTTCAGGTGTCAATTATCATTCCCTTCACCTACTGTAGTTGTAATAGTCATTGATTATGGGGCTAACAATATATGGTACTCTTAGAGTGTGGCTCGATATGAGAGAAATAAAATCCCTTTCACCTTGCCTATGAGCTTTCTTCTTTCACACACCTGATTTTAAGTTTCTTCAATTTTTTTTTGCAGTTGAACATGTTCACTTTAAACAGTATTCCAGTTCTTGTGATCGTGTTATCATTCGGGATGTTTACTTTACTTGGAGGGGATCTAACACCGGCAAGGGCATTTACATCTCTCTCCTTGTTTGCAGTGCTGCGATTTCCGTTGTTCATGCTGCCTAATGTTATAACCCAGGTTACCTTTTAAAAAATCATGAATGGTTTATTTTGTTGTTAATTTCTACTTGTTAGAACTCCAGACATCCTCACTTTGCTTTCCATCTATTTTATTTTAGGCACCATAAAATCTAATACTAATGAATGCAAATTTTAAGAAATATTGAAATGCATCATACCTACATCTTTGTTTCCATATTCATAAGTTGGAACTTGGAAGCTTTAAAAAAACCAGGGTAGCCATGAGAAGAGTTGAACTGTAAAGGTAGGGAGAGAAGTGTAATTTAGTATCTTTTTTCCTCGGAATTATATATAAAATCTCTTCCCTGCCAATTAGATTTTGTATTCATTATATTTTTTCCTCACAATTAGATTTTAATTCTTATTCATATTCCTTCAGGTGTTGCTTTCCTTTAGCAATTAAGCATAAGCATTTCCATTGAAAACTTAAAACTTCAAAGCTATGAATTTCTAAGCATTGATGAAAATATGAGAAGACGCGAGATTATGCACAATTCTTTATAGGGAGTCTCTCTACTAGTTTACCTACTTCTGATCATTTGTGAACATAGTTCTTAAGCATTCTGTTCTCAAGTATGCATTATTGAACTTTTTTTTATACAATTCTTTTAAGTTGAATTTTTTCAGTGTCTTTTACAATCTTAGGGTAAATTTAAATGTCTGGGATAATGTTTTGATCATCTGTTTACTTTTCAAAGAATAAAATATAAAATATGTTCATTTTTTGTCTTCCCCCTTTACCTCTATTAGTGTGCAAAATAATTAGTGCATATAGAATGACACGTTCTACTTTGACTAAAAGTTTAAATCAGTTTATTGTTGAACATGTTTAACCTGCTCCCTCGCCCCTGGAGGTTGGACTAGATGCATTTGAGCCAACTATGCCTAAGTATTTAGATGACCTGTTTTGCACATGATTTGAACCCTAGATCTTTAGTAAGAAGCTATTTTCTGATTTCTACAGGTGGTTAATGCAAATGTATCCTTGAAACGTTTGGAGGAGCTTCTCCTGGCTGAAGATAGAGTTTTGCTCCCCAACCCACCTATTGAGCCTGGACTTCCAGCCATCTCTATGAAGAACGGTAGTTTTTCATGGGAATCAACGGTAAGGTTCATTTTTCCTCAAGCAGATATGTGCTGATAATACACCCTCCATCTTAGAATTAAGTTCCCGGTTTGACATTCTCGGAGTATAAGAAAAAAATTAAAAAGTAAAAATAAAGTGCTGTTGAATTTTATGCACAAAAGAGAGAAATCGGAAAGGACCACAAAATTATTTCCTTTGAAGGAAATGAAAATTTTATTTTGGCATGTTAAAAAAGGAAATATTGGAACTACATGCCAATAGGGAGTTATATATATATATATATATATATATATATATTCAATTATATGAAACATGTTGGCAATTTAATAAATTTGGAAATCTATTTTCGATAAGTCTAAAATGACACCAGTGCTACTGGTGTCATTTGCTTACACCAGTTCGTTTGGTGTACCTACGGTGCTCCGTTTGTAAAAACGACGGTTCCTACCCCCCCTAACCCTCCCCTTAAACCCCCCACCCCAGCCCCACCCTTGCCCCCCCACCCCAGCCCCCCCTCCCGCCCCCTCCCTACCCTGGCAGCTTGGCAGTGTACTGCCAGGGTAGGGAGGGGGCAGGAGGGGGGGCTGGGGTGGGGGGGCAAGGGTGGGGCTGGGGTGGGGGGTTTAAGGGGAGGGTTAGGGGGGGTAGGAACCGTCGTTTTTACAAACGGAGCACCGTAGGTACACCAAACGAACTGGTGTAAGCAACTGGTGTATAAGTAACTGGTGTCATTTTAGACGCTCCC